AGTGGGGGTGAGGAGGGGAAGCGTCCCCTGAATTTTCGGCATTATTTTTTTTATTATATAGAGATTTGGTTTTACATGAAATGGTTTTTTTCCTACAAATATTTCCATTTTCTGTCCCTTATCCCCTTCATCCCAGTGAACGTGTGGTAAATGCTTTAAAATCATTTGCACTATATTTCGGCATCGACTCCTGCACTCGGACAAATATGAATATTGTTGAGGAAACTTTCACATAAAATGTAAAAACTATTCATTTCTGTTTATTATTTATTTATATAAAATAGAGACAATTGGTGAGTGTTCCAAGTCAGTTACCTCGTATATCCCTCCGCGTGGGCGTAATTGAATGAGCAGCAGATGCCGTAAGCAGTTTTTGATGTTTTGACAAAATGATAGCAAGCCTTCATCTCATCCTGGAGTTGACACCAGACGAGGTAATCGTCGCAGGATGGACTTAGTATTTCGAAAAATTCGGTCATGGTCAGATTGTTGTGGACCATGACCGAGTTGAGACGAACCATCGCGTTCTGGAAGTGATTCGTTGGGATGTATATCTCTTGGACAAATTCCAGATCCTTCATGAAGTCTGTCCAGGCCATTCCGTAGGGCAACTCGCTAAAATTCCGAAGAGGGACTGGAGAGTAAATTGGAAGTTGGCGCGGATGGCCATCAATATTACATTTCTTCAGTTTTAAAAGGGTTTTCGAGGCACGTTGAAAAGGTTTAAATATAGTCGTCAAAATTTAAAAATAGTATAATACAAAAAATCTCCGCGAATAAATTATTCAGTGCGATTAAGAATAGTATAATATTAATGATTTTAATTTCCCATTGATGATGAATTAAATATTTGGAAATGTGGATGTGAGTAATTCAGAAGTTGAATAGTTAAATTGATGATTACTTAAATAATTGAAAATTTAAAAGTGCTGTTAACTAAGTGGCGGCTTCAAAATTTACTGGTAATTATCATTTAGACGAATGAATCAAAGAGAATCTCATTTTCAAATATTTTGTTGTCTGCAGAATACGTCTTTCAATATTTCTCGTTAGAATTCACATGAATAAATGAATCAATCTTTTCATTTTTAATTTTTCTATTCATTTCAACAATATATTTGACGAATTGGTGAATGCATAGTTTAATTTTGTTTTAAAGTTGTAATTCGCTGTTTTTTTTTGTTTCTTATTGAACTCACATTTTGTTTCCTTCATTCTCGTATTGCTGGAGCCTGTGGGCACTCGCCACATTCGGATGGCATATTGTCACTGCTGGAATCGGAATTCTCCAGGCTGGAAACTGACTCGATACAACTAATGTTCTCATTGTTGCTTGCTTATGCCTCTGATGAAATTTCTGAGCCAGTACTCCAGCTGCTATCACTGACACAATAATAACGAACAGCCAGAATATCCTAATACAATTTTAAAAATTGTAATTTTGTAAGCTCGCGGAAATGAAAAATTTGATATTTTAATCGCGAAAAGATTTTTTCAACCCTCAATTCCTCGACCTGAATTTTTCAAGTGTTTTCCGCTCTATTTTTCTTCAAGTTTCATTAAAAAATCGAGCAAAATTGATTGAGAATAAACAAAATAATAATTTATCCGCAATCAGAAGTAATTATTTTCTACAGTATATAGAAACATACATAAGTGAACAAGTCCAGTCGTTTATTTTTTTTTTTAATCCAAATTTTTCCATTTTTTTTTAAAGTAAAAATAAAAAAATTTTAATTAAAAAAAAAATTTTTTAACTATAATTTTTTTTTTTAATTAAAAAATTTTAACCATTATTATAGCTAACGGAAAATTCACTGGAGTGTTGTTGGAATTTTTTTTTTGCCTTGTGTAGATGTAAAACTAACACTAGCATCAAGGAAATAAAGTACTCTATTCTATTCTATAAAATCGAATTCACAGGGTTTGAATAACAAAATAATAATTTATCCGCAATCAGAAGTAATTATTTTCTACAGTATAGTGAACAAGTCCAGTCGTTTATTATTTTTTTTAATCAAAATTTTTCAATTTTTTTTTTTAATTAAAAATAAAAAAAATTTAATTAAAAAAAAATCTTTTTAATTATAATTTTTTTTTAAATTAAAAAATTTTAACCATTATTATAGCTAACGGAAAATTCACTGGAGTGTTGTTGGAATTTTTTTTTTGCCTTGTGTAGATGTAAAACTAACACTAGCATCAAGGAAATAAAGTACTCTATTCTATTCTATAAAATCGAATTCACAGGGTTTGAATAACAAAATAATAATTTATCCGCAATCAGAAGTAATTATTTTCTACAGTATAGTGAACAAGTCCAGTCGTTTATTATTTTTTTTAATCAAAATTTTTCAATTTTTTTTTTTAATTAAAAATAAAAAAAATTTAATTAAAAAAAAATCTTTTTAATTATAATTTTTTTTTAAATTAAAAAATTTTAACCATTATTATAGCTAACGGAAAATTCACTGGAGTGTTGTTGGAATTTTTTTTTTGCCTTGTGTAGATGTAAAACTAACACTAGCATCAAGGAAATAAAGTACTCTATTCTATTCTATAAAATCGAATTCACAGGGTTTGAATAACTCAGATTGAACATACCGCCCTAGAGCTGATTTATGCCGCCCCGTGTACCTGAGTCCGTGGATCGAAGACTCATGAGCGAATTCATTGTACACTTCAGCCAGTAGATTACACGCATTCCTCAAACCCCGCAAGTCAGACTCCGGGTCTGCAGGGTATACCGGAAATGACTGAGCCCCCCGACTTTCTCGAGCCGCCACTCTAATACTGTTTCCAGTCAGCAAAGAAATCTTCCGCGCTTTTCGAGAGCCCATGGTCGAATGGGGGGCCCCTGGATGCTCATTTTCGTGATTGAAAAAGGGAATTAAGGATCGATCGGAGAGCGTGTTCCCAACGGTTTCGGGTGACTGACATCCATCACGTACGTGTCCTCGGACAAACCATTCGGTTTTCATTATTCATCACTTATCCAATTAATTATTCATTTGAACACAACTTTTCTCTCTTTTTTATTCATATATTTTCTCACGCACGAAAACATTCAACAGAATTCGTTGGAAAATTCTATTGGATTTCTATTTGTCTTCGGCCGATTCTATTGAAGTGTTCAATGGAAAATATTAAATAGAAAAAGTCAATAGAATTTCGTCGGCTCGAATTTTTTTTCCATTCTATTTTTCATTCCTTCTCATCAAGAAAATCAAGCAAAAGAACTTGGAAATTTCGAATTTTGACTTTTTCTATTAAATTTTTTCATCCGTGGAGTGAGGGAGTTGGGAATAAAGTTCATGTTTGCGGCAAATGTGTCGCCCGCCTGTCTATCACTTTCGAGATGTAGTACATGATAAAATAGAGGACCTCGACAACTGAGATGAAGCTGCACCCGAGGAAAAGACTGAAAACTCCCCCCAGGGAAGCTGTGGAGAAGAGGAAATTAGTTGACCCCATAAATTGCTGTGTATTTACTACTTACATATTAAATTGATCCAAGACAGAACTAGATCTCGTCTCATCAGCGTCGCAGTTTGCCGGGCAAATGTGACGTGAATGGCCGTAGCATTTGGATATTTCTCAGCAATTCTGCTACAAAAACGAACAACAGATCACGAATTATCAAAATTTAATTGACGTGTTCTCAAACGAAAAACAATTTCGCGAAAAAACGCAATTGTCATCTAATTTAATTTTTTTACAGAAAAATTATCAATTGAATTTTACATTTCTCGCGAATTCGCAGGAAAATTCCTGCAAAATTTTTCCTCATAAATTATACTAGCGTATGGGGCGCGCTACGCGCGCCTTTACTCAGAATATGGTTGTCTGTTTCTTTTAGCACAAAGGTATGGTTCCGAGCAAATTCATGTCCGGTTCAATTTTATCTATGTTCTGACCTTTTTTACTTTTCATATTTGATTTACAAAAAAAAATTATTCTTATTATTATTACTTTTATCGTCGATTTCACACTTTTCCTTTATTTCGTGATGATTTTTTTTTCGTCAAATATTTAGGAATTATTTAGTTATCATTTTTTATTTAATGGTCTTCTAATAAAGTTGATGACTTAAAAAAAAAATTAATCCAAAAATTGAAAAGAAACTAAAAAAAACTTTTTTTTTTAAATACAAGACATTATATATATATATTGCTATTGTCTATATATATATCAGTAGCGAAGCGGTAAACCGGGTTAAGTCGTTTTTTACTATTGGCTAGTTTTTGACGAATATCTCGGAATCTAAAAGAGATAGAAGATATATATATATATATATATATATATATATATATATAGAATGTATTATATATATGATATATTATATTTTTCAAAAATATTATTTTTTTCTCATTTTTTATACGTGATAGCTAAGCTATGCCGCAAAAAACGGTGACAAAAAACGTTACATGCTTTTTTTTAAAGGAGATACGATTGATAATTAAAATCTAGGATCAACCGAATGATTATTCTATTATTAAAATATTTACTAGAATATCGATGGATTGTACTGTAGAGCATTCATATGTACGAGAGTGGTGGTCAACGGATAGCTAGTGCCAGAGCAGTCCGGAAGACAATAGCAAGGATATCCCCTGAAAGGTGTCTGTAAAATTCGGCTCCTCACTCTGGACACGCAGGGCACGTGTGAAAAATTACAAATTGTATCATTCTCCATCACAACGGACGCATAAAAGGGCACACAATGGCAGAAGGACCTGAACATCATTTCGTGACAACTTGCCAAGCAATTGTCGTGTCTGTAGATGTTACTCCTGGATCCACTGACCCGGCAATCGCGTTCCTTCTCGGACAGATCCAGTACTTCGGGGCTGGCTGTGAGTTTGCGACCCCGAATAGACGCTATCACTTCACACCTTTGACGCGCAATGAATTCACGAGCCGAGGGGCCCGGATAGGTGTGACGATCGTGGATCAGTACTCTCGCACCCTCACCGTAGGATAATCCTGATATTCTGTCGTTGGGACCGTAACTCTTGAGGATAACTGAGAAGATGTAGCTTTGACCGAAATTGGGACTGTAGTACTCCTTTTGGGATGATCTGAATGGGAGAAATTATTGTGGAATCGTTGTGAAATAATGTTGAAGTAGATGGAGTGCGCGCCTGGTTCGTTGAAGGCTTCATTTAATGCAATATTGCCCTAATGTTGGCAGCCAATATTGTCCTGATGTTGGCAGCCAACACTGGGCCAACGTTGGCCGCCAGTACTGGGCCGCCATTGGCCCAGCGTTGGCGGCCAGTATTGGGCCGACACTGGCCCAGTGTTGGCGACCAACGCTGGCCCGACATTGGTCCAACGTTGGGCCAATAATGGGTGCCAACATTGCCCCAACATTAAAATTTAAACATTCAATTTTTTCAACACCAGATGATGCAATCGATCTCATGATCGAACCCGTCAAGATGGCGTTGGGAATAATATTTTAAACAATTATTTCTCCAGTTATCGTCGAAAATCCGAATGTGTTCGAACTCCTGAGGTCGAAATTAGTTATCCTGACAGAAAAAATTGGAAATTTTGTGCCAACATTGCCCCAACATTAAAATTTAAACACTCAATTTTTTCAACGCCAGATGATGCAATCGATCTCATGATCGAACCCGTCAAGATGGCGTTGGGAATAATATTTTAAATATTTCTCCAGTTATCGTCGAAAATTCGGATGTGTTCGAACTCCTGAGGTCGAAATTAGTTATCCTGACAGAAAAAATTGGAGATTTTGGATTTGATGAATAAAATAAAGGTGAATAAGAAGTGAAAAATTAACGAGAATCAAATGAGCTCGAAGATTCACAACAGGAAAATCTGAGCTTTTGCGATTTTTCTTCAATTTCAGATTTTAAAAAATTGCTGAGACAACATTGCATAAACCGCTGCGTCACAGCTGACCTTCTCACAGTATTCAGGAAAAATGAATATGTTGTGATGTACCGTATGATCCTGGGTACAAAGTGCATATTGGAAATTACGACGGAGTGTTCAGTTTCATCGATAATCGGTGAGTGTTAACACGTTAATTACTTTTGCTCTGTGAACACATGGGCGTAATTCGCTGAGCAGCAGAGACCGTAAGCTGTGGTGGAAATTTTTAGATAGTTGCGACAGGGCTTTATCTCACCCTGCGCTTGACACAGGACGATGTAATCGTCACAGGACGGGCTCACTATTGTCACGAATTCGGTTATTGTCAGGTTGTTGTGGGTGACGATCCTGTTGAGGCGGTGCATTGCACTCTGCGAGTGGTTTGTTGGGATATATAGCTCCTGGAGAAATTGCAAATCATTCAGAAAATGGTTCCATTCCAATCCTGGAGGCATCTCTCTGAAATATTGGCATGTTAATTGACAATTTTATTGAAATTTCGAGGATTTTCGTAATTGAATATTCATAGTTTGAGGGAAAAATCAATGGAAATAGTAAATTTCAGTTCAAAAAATCCAAGATCTGACACTTTGGCCCTCGGTGAAAAAAATTTTTTTTCAGTTTTCACTATTTCCACATATTTTTGAGAGTTCTGAATAGCCCGTCGCTTAAATAGTTGTAATCAACGTTCACCCGGCAAAAAAATTCGATTTTGGCGAAAGTCGACTTTCCCCCTGGAAAAACGGAAAATCTGACCCTTTGAAAATCTGAAAAAAAAAAATTTTCAGTTCTCATTTTTTCCACATATTTTTGAGAGTTCTGAATATCCCGTCGCTTAAATAGTTGTAATCAACGTTCACCCGGCAAAAAAATTCGATTTTGGCGAAAGTCGACTTTCCCCCTGGAAAAACGGAAAATCTGACCCTTTGAAAATCTGAAAAAAAAAAAATTTCAGTTCTCATTTTTTCCACATATTTTTGAGAGTTCTGAATAGCCCGTCGCTCAAATAGTTGTAATCAACGTTCACCCGGCTAAAAAATTTAATTTTGGCGAAAGTCGACTTTCCCCCTGGAAAAACGGAAAATCTGACCCTTTGAAAATCTGAAAAAAAAAATTTTTTCAGTTCTCACTTTTTCCACATATTTTTGAGAGTTCTAAATAGCCCGTCGCTTAAATAGTTGTAATCAACGTTCACCCGGCTAAAAAATTTAATTTTGGCGAAAGTCGACTTTCCCCCTGGAAAAGCCGAAAAAAATGAAAATCTGAATGTGTTCTTTCAATCAAACTCACAATTTGTTCCCTTCACTCATGTATTTATTGAGTCTGTTGGCACTCGCAACAGTTGGATGGCATATTGTTATTGCTGGAAGTGGAATTTTCCACGCGGGATACTGGTTCGATATAACTAATGTCCTCATATTCGCTTGTTTATGCCTGTAATAGAACTTCTGAGCCAGCGCGCCAGCTGCTATTACCGACAGGATGATGAGGAACAGCCAGAATATCCTGATAGAAATTCAAATAAACGTTATTCAAATTCCATAGAAACAACCTAACAAATTCCAGTCAAAATTCTCAGTTTTTCATCGTTTTTTTTTAAATAGAAAGTGTCCAACAAACAATTTCATCGAAAAAAAATCAGCAGAATTTCATATTTTCATACTTTTTCTAGAATTTCTCGACATAAATTTTCTACATTTTTCAACTCATTTTTTTTCTTCTCGTTGAAAAATTCAAACGAAAGAACTGAAGAATATGTTCTACTAAACATTTGCATTGAAAAAAAATTGCAGAATTTTTTTCTGTGTATTTAAATGGAATCAATCAACAAACCGCTCCGCAATCGATTTATTTCGGCCCGTGTACTTGATTCCATGGATCGAAGACTCTTGAGCGAATTCATTGTACACTTCACCTAGTAAATTACAGGGATCCCTCAAAGCCCGGGGTTTCGACTTTGATTCTGAAGGAAATGTCGGAATTGATTGAATAACCGGACTCCCGTGAGCTTCAGCGCGAGTGCTATTCCTAGTCTGCCAGGAATTCCTGCGAATGTTTCGCGAATTCATGGCGAAATGAAGCGGGAGGATGGCACATTTCGATCATTCGGTGGTAGAAAATTCAGGATCGATCGGGAGTATTTTTCTTTTTTTCTCCAGTGAATCAGTGATTACTGTCGAGTGATTTACATCCATCACGCACGTGTCCTCGGACAAACAAGTCGTATTTCATTATTCACCTTCGTAGGTACGAATCACTCTGATCCATTATTCAAATGGCGTAAATCGGTGTCAATTTTTTTATTGGATTATCCGGCGAGTGGCTTCACCCGGCGTTTTCGTGGTGTCTTTGGGGGGAAGGGCTTCAAGAAATTTCTCGAGTAATTTTTTTGTAGACGACTGGAGAATTTATTTCAATGTTTTAATCAAAACATTATTTTATTTCATTTTAATTATTTTTTGCAGGAATTTTATTTTACTGACATGAAACGGAAAATTCGTCGAAAAATGTTGGATACGCATTTTTTCATTTTCTCATGAATACCTTATAAATATTAATAATGAATCGAAGAGAATTCGACTAATGATTGAAGTGAATAGCGAAGTAGAGTAAAAGAATCTATAAAGAATTTTTCATTTTCAATTAATTATCTTCAATTTTTTTAAATAATCAGTCTCCATAAAAGGACAGAATTTATTAATTTCACCGATGATAAATATACATGTGAAATACATATATTATATATATATTACGTGAAAAAAAAATTTACCACTGAAGAATTTGAAATTATGTCACTGAAGAATTTGAAAATGCCGCGTGTTTTTTTTTTGTGAATAACTTCGTGTCACATATTGACCAATCAGAATTGAGGATTAGCGGTCAGGCAGTTTCGAGATATTTCGATATAAAACAACTTCACGTTTCTTTCATCTTTAGTGCGCTTATCTATTCATTTGTTGAACTGAAGCAATGGAATTCATTAAATTTCATTTTCTCATGAATACCTTATAAATATTGATAATGAATCGAAGAGAATTCGACTAATGATTGAAGTGAATAGCAAAGTAGAGTAAAAGAATTTATAAAGAATTTTTCATTTTCAATTAATTATCTTCAATTTTTTTAAATAATCAGTCTCCATAAAAGGACAGAATTTATTAATTTCACCGATGATAAATATACATGTGAAATACATATTATATATATATATTACGTGAAAAAAAAATTGCCACTGAAGAATTTGAAATTATGTCACTGAAGCATTTGAAAATGCCGCGTGTTTTAAGAATTAGCGGTCAGGCATTTTCGAGATATTTCGATATAAAACAACTTCACGTTTCTTTCATCTTTAGTAAAAAAAGGATTATATTGCAGTTGTGAAAAATAGGAAAATTCCAAAATCAATATCAATGTCCAAAACATCAAAATAATCGATCCCCGAGCCCAAAAAATCGATTAACGCCAAAAATAAATCATGAACCAGTGTTTCACGTGTTCGACTTAAAATAGTACATTTCGTAACGAGTGCAAAAAACATTTTTTCACGAGTTATGACCAATATTTTTCATCACAATGTGGCGGAAATTGGACTTTTAGGCACGCTCCGCGTGCCGAAAAGTTCACTTTTCGTCACAGCGTGACGAAAACGTCTTTTCGCACATTTTCAAATTAAATCTGCACAAAATTTCCGACAGATAAAAATATCTCCATCAAAAACTGAACCAACCAGAAAATTCAAAAAATTCCTCAAATTGTGTTTCACCCCAAAAAGTAATGAATTCGCAAAAAATCTCAAAATAGTGATCCTTGAAGCCCAAGGGACTGAGCCATGCTAAAAATAAATGATAAAACAGTGGCTTACCGACGTTCCCCCGACGTCGGCCGAAGTCCCCCGAGAGCTCGAGCATCTGACGTCCCATTTCTCCGTTCACATCGGCAGCCGCGTGTTCCCGCGCAGCTTGCGTGGGCGTACGACAGCGCCTCGTCCCTCCAACCCTCCGCCATAACGTCGGCGTCCCCCGCGGGCCAACGCGCGCAACAAAGAGCCCCCGACCTGCGCCCGAGTGCCGAAAATACCGTCACGTGAGTATCACCGAGGCGCCCCTCACCCCAGCGAGCTATTTTCCAATCTGCAACCGGAATGTGTCAGTGCAGTCCCTCAGATTCGAGATTTAAAACCCCAATTATTCACCCACTTACGTGCAATGACATTGTCATTGTCCTCGCGGCACGCCAAACCACTCAAATCGCCTGAGACTGCGCGAAAAAACCGGTGATTAAGGAGTGACTGGTGCCCCCTGAAAATTCAGTCCACCGGTGGATTCTCCGCAATTCGCGTTGTCAGAAACTAACCTAGAATCACCGAGTCCAAGGAGATCCCACTGCTCCCCTCAGTTTTTTTACTTCACGTGTCAATGAAATAATTCCCTCCGCGAATAAATTATTCAGTGCGATGAGTGTGCCAGTGTGTGCGCCAGTGGCCGATAATGATCGAATTGTGGCGTCTGTCATCGACTCTCAAGACTGCTGATCTCACATTTTTGTTATCCCCTTTGTTGCCGTAAATCATGAATTTGAGGCGTGCGTGGCATTTCTGATGATGCAATTGGAGTAAACTGATGAGTGAGTGACACGCAGAGGGGGGAAGGGGTAAGAGTGCGGATCAAGTGCCATTGGGGGTTCATACATTTTCCATCAACTGCTCCATGAAGCATTCTGGAGACAACAGCGGCCAAGCACGTCGCCGACGGCGAGTTTTTGCTTGGCTATCTGCACCCATTTTCCAAAGGTTCGTTTTTAAGGTTTTAAATTTTTTTTGTTTTTTTTTCGTGGAGTTTTTTAGATTGGGGGAATAGGGGAGGTTGGGGTGAAATGGACACTTTTGACTTTTTTAAAAATATTTGTGACGGGTTGAAATGTTGATGAAATTTAATCTTTTTTTTTTCAATACAAAGAACAATTCTTTTCCTTTGTGGTGAGCCTAAACTGAGCTCTGTTGATACATTTGTTTCTGAGTTATGAATAATTTTTAAAAAGTCTGAAGTGTCCATTTTACCCTACCCTCCCCTAAGTCGATTTGGGCTATTGCCCAGTTTTTAATGAATATCTCAAAATCTAAGGGAGATAGCAAAATTTTTGTTATAACCTTTTTTGTAGAGCAAAGTGAGAGCTACAAAAAAGGAAATCACAACAATTTCGCTATTTCCCTTAGATTCCGAGATATTTATTAAAAACTGGCCAATAGCCGAAATCGACTTAAACCGGTTTACCACTTCGCTACTGAATTTTAGAGGGAGATTGATGGGATGATTTAAACATTCCAATTTTTAAAAATTACGAGCATTCCAAACTGTAAATGATACTTGGATATCCTTAATTGTCTTCACAATTTTTTTAATGGAATGAGATTTTTTTTAGTGGAATTGCTCGATTTTTTTTTTCACTTTCAAGACATTTTTTGACGCTTAAAAATGAGACCTGATTCACCTCAATCGGACGATTTCGTCCGGAACTATTTACGTTTGAAGAAAAAATTATTAAACTTCACTCGAAATTCAGTGAAATTCAAAATTCAAAATCAAAACATGACAATCCAGAATGAAATTACGCTGAATTTTCAATTAATTAACAATTTCTGAACAGATCCCCCTGAACGAAACAGAAATTTCCAGTTTTCATTAATTCACTCATCAAACTCTGAATTACAAATGACAAAACCCTTGAAATTTCCAAAAAATGTAACGGAAATTTCAGCCAAAAATTTTCAACATCGAATTGTTTTGAAAGAGTCTGCTCATTCCAATTTAATTTTCCATTCCTCGATTTTTTTTCACTTCCAAGGCATTTTTTGAAGCTTAAAAATGAGACCTGATTCACCTCAATCGAACCATTTCATCAAGAACTATTTAAATTTGAAGAAAAAAATATTAAACTTCACTTGAAATTTAGTGAAATTCAAAATTCAAAATCAAAACATGACAATCCAGGATAAAATTACGCTGAATTTTCAATTAATTAACAATTTCTGAACATATCCCCCTGAACAAAACAGAAATTTAGTTTTCATTAATTCACTCATCAAACTCTGAATTACAAATGACAAATCTCTTGAAATTTCCAAAAAATGTAACGGAAATTTCAGCCAAAAATTTTCAACATCGAATTGTTGTATTCAAACCCCCGCAAATGTCCGACAATTCAATATTTCTACCTCTGCTCATTCCAATTTTATTTTCCCTTCGCCGCATTTATTGTCCTCCTCACACACGAGTTTCTCGAAACCCAAGTTTATGCATTTCCGTTGTTTACAATCGTTTATGAATCATTTATGCATTCTTCATGAATAATACGTGCTCCATCGATCAGAAGCAATCTGAAATGCAAAGTGCTTATGAATTCTTTTGAAGAATTCTCGATAAACTTTCCGCGATATTTTCACGGTTCGAAAAAGCTTTTTTATGTATGAAGAAGATCGATGGGTCTTCCTCCCATTCAATTACTGGAGCACTCTGCTGAAACCAAAAGGGGACAGCCGATTTAATTCAATTCAATTCGTCTTTTTCTTATCTCCACTTTTTCATTCATCCACTTCAAGAACAATAAAACCACTGTCTAATCCTCCTTTTTATCTCCTGTTCTGTGAAATAGTGGATGGAAACAATTTCTGAATGAAATCAGTCGGTGAATAGACAACTCTTGAATATTTCCCGAAGCAAAATAAAACAGAAGGAATTGATATCATTCAGCATATGCGAATGCTCTCCAACATTTCGCAGCGAATTGGCCAGTTTTCAGTGAATATCTCGAAATCTAAGGGAGATAGCAAAAATTGTCTCATAACCTTTTCAGTAGCACCCAATTCGCTCTACAAAAAAGGTAATTATGAAAATTCGGCTATCTCCCTTAAATTCGTAAATATTCCCGGAAAACTCAACTGAAGACTAAATTGACTTGAACCATTTGACCACTTCGCTACTGAATTAATTTCTTTCTATTCTTTTCTCAAAAAAACCAGTTAAATTTTCTAAAATTGTAACACCTCCACATTTTTCTTATGTTTCAGCAATATTCCAATGGAACTCATCTAGTTTCCCCACCAGAATCGCCATAAATCCCACCCTAATTGCCATAAAAAATATCAAAAGTCTACAAAATACCATAAAAAAATATATCAACGACTGAGTACCATTTTATATTTAATCCTAAAATGTTTTTAACAAGCCCAAAAAATAACATCACAAGTATAATCCCAATAAACCGATCGAGCGAGCAAAAACGGGTGCACAAGCAAAAATTCACAAGTTAAAACGGGCGAAACAAGCAAAAAAAATCTAAAAATTAACAATTAATAGTAAGATGCAAGCCAAAAAGCGTTATCTGTTGTTATTCGTGACATGCGCATTTCTCGGCTACTGTTACTTCGGTGGTTATCGTTTAAAAAGTTCAAGCTGGCCAGAGGATAAAAAATTATATATAAATAATATGCCATCATATTTAACGATAAATGAAAATTTTTATGACAAAGATATACGCACGAGTGGTGTTAACACACTGTTGTATAATACAGTGAAAAATTGCCGTATGGATACGTGTTTTGATTATACAAAATGTAAAAATGGATTTACAGTGTATGTTTATCCAGTTGAGGATACGATAAGTCCTATTTACCAAAAAATATTGAACGTTATAACGGAATCGCGTTATTACACATCGGATCCGGGTAAAGCGTGTTTGTTTGTTCTGTCCCTGGATACACTTGATCGTGATCCATTGTCCATTGAATTTGTACGTAATATGCCGACAAAATTGATGAGATTGCCGTACTGGAATGATGGAAGAAATCACTTGATATTCAATCTTTACTCAGGCACTTGGCCAGATTATTCGGAGGACTCGTTGGCATTTAATATCGGTTATGCCATGTTGGCTAAGGCCAGCATGTCCACCTCACGTTTGAGACCTGAATTCGATGTGTCTGTACCACTATTCTCCAAACAACATTTGGAGAGGGGCGGTGAGCCTGGTCAAGCGGGTGAAAATAATTTTCCAAGTGCCAAGAAGTATCTTGCTGCTTTCAAGGGGAAGAGATATGTTCATGGCATTGGATCGGAAACCAGAAATGCTCTTTACCATTTGCATAATGGCAAGGATCTTGTTTTTGTTACTACCTGCAGGCATGGCAAGAGCTGGCGGGAACTGCAGGATGAACATTGCCAGCAGGATAATCAGGAATATGATACGTAGGTTTTTTTAGTTCAATTTCGGGGGCGGGGGGTAATTGATTGCTTTGATTTTCATTTGATGTTGATGAGTCAGTGTTGGTCATTAATGAGGAGAATTTTGGAGAGAATAAACATTGCGTGGTTTTTTTTTGTTGAGTTTAGTTCAAATTTTATTTTTCTTGAGAAGATTTATCATTTTTTCGTTAAGGTATAAAGTAAATTGAAAATAAATTGTTTCAATTCATGAACAGTTCAGGGAATTCTATGAATTAATTTTTTCTCGGTATTTATAAAAAATATCGAGCTTTGATTTGTTTGAAAATGAAAATAAAAATGAAAATTCGTCAGTTGTTTAAGAATAATTAAGTTTTGTTCTTCAGTTTTACTCGAAATTTAACTTTTCTTGAGAAGATTTTACATTTTTTCGTTTATGGTATAAAGTAAATTGAAAATAAATTGTTTCAATTCATGAACAGTTTAGAGAATTCAATGAATCAATTTTTTCTCGGTATTTATGGAAAATATCAAGCGTTGATTTATTTGAAAACGAAAATAAAAATGAAAATTCGTCAGTTGTTTAAGAATAATTAAGTTTTGTTCTTCAGTTTTACTCGAAATTTAACTTTTCTTGAGAAGATTTTACATTTTTTCGTTTAGAGTATAAAGTAAATTGAAAATAAATTGTTTCAATTCATGAACAGTTCAGGGAATTCAATGAATTAATTTTTTCTCGGTATTTATAAAAAATATCGAGCTTTGATTTGTTTGAAAATGAAAATGAAAATGAAAATTCGTCTCTTGTTTAAGAATAATTAAGTTTTATTCTTCATTTTTACTCGAAATTTAACTTTTCTTAAAGAGATTTTAGATTTTTTCGTTTAGGGTATAAAATAAATTGAAAATTTATTTTATCAATTTAATAAATTTTTACCAATCTATAAATTTATTTTCTCAATCTTCTCAGATTTTACAAATCAACACTTGATTTTTTAAAAATACATTAAAATAAATAAATATAAAATAAATTGAAATTACATTTTAATTTATAAATAAATTGAAAATACATTTCAATTTATTTAAAAAAAAAGTCAAGCATTGATTTGTTCAAAAATGAAAATAAAAATGAAAATTCGTCTCTCGCTTATAGAACAACGTGATTTTGTTATTAATTTTTCCTCAAATATAGGTACGACTATGAGGTGCTCTTGCTGAACTCAACATTTTGCCTGGTGCCACGAGGCAGAAGACTCGGCAGCTTCAGGTTTCTGGAGGCACTCAGAGCTGGATGCATTCCTGTGATTCTAAGTAATGGATGGGCATTGCCATTTCACGAGAGAATTGACTGGACTCAGGCTGTTATTTTCGCCGACGAGAGGCTGCTGTTACAAGTAAGACTAGACCCAGCAATTTAATTAATCTTCGGATGAATAATCTCACCGACTAATTCCGATTGATCCCGATGTTTTCCGTTTAGATACCTGATATTTTGCGATCAGTATCGAATAGTCAAATACTCCAATTGAGGCAGCAGACACAATTTCTCTGGGAGAGATATTTTTCGTCTATTGAGAAAATCATCTTTACTGTTTTTGAGGTGAGAAAAAGCATTCCAATATTTTTCTTATTTTCATTTCAACAATAATTATGAATAGCAATTGATTATCAATTACTATTGAGCAACTATTCATGCCATTTCTATTTTTATGGGTTTGCCCAATTGTTTGTAGTTTAATTTATTTTTTGTTCGTTTCAATTCAGTAAATTAATTGATTTATAAACGATTACATGAATGAATCTTAGAAAAGAGCTTTCATTGATCATTATTAATTATTTTATTTTCCTTATCATCTGCAGAACGTGAGGGAGAGGTTACCATGGGAGGGCAGTCGTGAAAAATTAACGTGGAATACATATCCTGGTGCATTAGCCATTTTACCACAATTTTCTGATAGCCAGCAGGAGTTACCATTCTCAAATCATGATCCAGGCAATCAGTTTACTGCCATTATCTACTCCCAGCTGGGGTCAACTGCTGTTCTTTATCGTCTATTACGAAGCGTCGCGAAGAGTAAATATTTAGATAAGGTACGGCTCTGAGTATTCTATAAATAAATTTTTATCCTAATATTTTCAGACCCAAATTCACGAGGGAAAGTCGAGGAATTTGGAGTCTGATTTTTTGTTTTTTGAGGGGAACGATTTCCTCGTTTGATTTTTTAATTTAATGTGCTTTCAGATAATTTTAATGTGGAATTCTGACATTCCTGTACCGAGGAGACCACGTTGGCAGGGGATAAGGGCGACGATCCATGTCATTGTTGCTAATGGCATCTCTCAGCGGTTCTATCCACATCCGCAGATCAAGACTAGTGCCATATTATCACTGGATGAGGATGCTACGTTGAATACTGATGAGATTGACTTTGCCTTCGTCGTGTGGCAGTCATTCCCGGATCGCATCGTTGGATATCCAGCCAGATCCCATTATTGGGATGATTCGAAGGTGAAATTTATAAATAATTGATCGATTAATTATTCTTTGGAAAGAGTTTAGTGGAATAAATATGGGGGAAATGCCCTCAACGAATTTTCAATTGCCTATTTTTTCTGTTGTTTATAATTTTATTGGTTTTTTATGCATTGACAATTTTTTATTATTTTTTTTTACAACAGTTTCTATTTTTTTTTTAATTATTCAGTTTTTCGGAAATTTATTTTAACATCATTAGATGATGATACAACTTGGAAAAAATCAGCACTTTTTATTTCTATTTTTATTTATGTTTTTGTTGAAAATTACGTGAGGAAAACTCTCAGTTTTTGCCGGCGCCATTTTCAAAAAAAAATATAATTGACAAATTTTGGGGTTTTTTACTAGAAATCCACGTGCAATTCATGCGTTGGGAATTGAATTTCTAATGAACACATCTCCTGATGTTTTTATGAATTATTCACTTTTCGAAAATTCATTTTAACATCATTAGACGATGATACAACTTTACAAAAAATCCTCACCTTTTATTTCGTGTTTTTGTAGAAAATGACGTGAGGAAAACTCTTAGTTTTTGCCGGCGCCATTTTCAAAAAAAAATATAATTGACAAATTTTGGGGTTTTTTACTAGAAATCCACGTGTAATTCATGCGTTGGGAATTGACTTTCTAATGAACACCTCTAATGTTTTCTGATTTTTTTTATAGAATTCAGTAGCGAAGTGGTAAAACGGTATGAGTCATTTTTAACAATTGACCAGTTTTCAATGAATATCTCGGAATCTAAGGGAGATAGCAAAATTGTTGTTATAATCTTTTTTGTAGAGCCAATTGAGTGCTACAACAAATGTGATGAGGAAAATTTTGCTATATCCCTTAGATTCGGAAATATTCATCAAAAACTCAACTGGGAGATACGTCGACTTGAACCGTTTTACCACTTCGCTACTGAATTAAATAAAAAAAAAAATACATAACTCATTATCGCCATAATTCATCACTAAATAATACCCAAAAAATGAGCTCTCTGTTTCTCGATTTCCCACGTGATTTAAATCTAAATTTAAAAATTTTCATTATTTCAGCGATCATGGGGTTATACAAGCAAATGGACAAACGACTACAGTATAGTCCTGACAGGTGCGGCATTCTATCATCGTTACTACAATACTCTTTACACCGAGTTACTGAGCTCAACTCTCCACAAGACAGTAGAACAATCCCAGAATTGTGAGGATATACTCATGAATTTTTTGGTGAGCCACGTGACGCGGAGACCTCCCATCAAGGTCACCCAGCGTAAACTGTACAAAGACACAACAGCAGCTGGAATAAGGTAAAATTAACCAATGGGATGTTTATTGTTGCAGTGCGCCCAGTGCTCCCAAGCACTCGGTTTGCGCCATAGCCTTTATTCCTGAGTGGAGAATACGATTAGTTAATTCCTTATCATTTTTCCTCTTTCACGTTTTCCCTCCTGTCTTTTTCTTCTGTTGAACGTGATATATTGTCTCTCGCTTCGTAAAATCTTTTTAAAATTCTTGAGGACTGGTTTAGACATCAAGAGGTGATACGTCATACGTGACAGTCTCATGTATTCGGGAATTGATTAAATTTTGAAGGATTGTTTTTTGAAATTCTTCATGTGAATGTGCCTTGACATTCTGTTGTAAATGGTGGGAAAATTATTTCAGTTGTGGGAGGGAATTATGATCGGAGAGACGACAGTTTCCACGCTTGAAGTTATTTTTATTCTTGTCTTTCATGTTTTTTCCTTCGGTTTTTATTTTGTTGACACGATTTATTGTTTTTTTCTCTCTTAATTCGTAAAATATTTTTTTTATTGTTGATGATTGATTTGGACAACGTGATACGTATGGAATAAACAAGACGTGATACGTCAAATGTGACAGTCTTATGCATTATGGAATTATTTAAATGTTGAGGGATTGTTTTTAGAAATTCTTCACTTGATTGCGCCTTGACATTCTGTGTGACAATTATTCTAGGTGTGGAGCGAGACAGAATGAGACATCTTGTTGAAAACAGATCGTTTTTTTTAATACACCGTTAGAAAAAAAGTCATTCAAAATACAAATTTTAATTTAATTTAATTCATTGAATCAACATTGAGGAGAAAAATAATAAAATTTTAAATTTCTTTGAAAATCCAATGGAATTCCAAGTTTTTGGCGTTAATGTCTATACTTACTTAAGATAATTAATGAAACAATGAATATTCATTACTAATTACGCTCAATTCTCAATTAATTTCCAATTCACGAAAATATTCACCTGAATTTTCCAGATTTTTGTTCAGTTTCATGGAATAATTGACCGTTTCCACATTTTTTTCATTGAATTGTGAATTATGAACAATGAAATTCCTTGAAATTTCAATGCATATAAAATAAAAAATTTTAAATTTAATTAAATTGATAAAAGTTTCTAAAAATTTTAACAATATATCTAAAACCTAAGAAAAGTAGTAGATTTTTTTTAGAAAACACTCATCAGCATCTTGCAACATAGAATAATCATAGGAATGATAAAGTGAATGCTTTGTAATTATTCTAAACAAGAACAGTCTCCAAAGTTTAGGCCCAGGGGCCTGTACTTTTCAATCAGCTGAAAGTTTCGTCACCGACGAAACGTAAAAAAAACTCGCACCTAATTGATTCTAATTTTATGTAATTTCAGATCCTCGTGGAATGATCCGGACCATTTTATTCAACGTCAGACCTGCATGAACACATTCGTAGCTGTTTTCGGTTACATGCCCCTCCTGCGTTCAAACATGAGACTGGATCCTGTGCTGTTCAAAGACCCCGTCAGTAACATGCGCAAAAAATATCGACAGATTGAATTAGTCAATAATTAGAATGTTTTTCGCCCCATCACTTTTTTACAAATGATAAAGAGGACTTTATTTTTGATCCATTTTTTACGAAAACTCTTGTGAATTCAATATGAGTTAGTGTCGTCATCGCAATCATTTCGTGTTTTTTAAGAGATTTTTTTTCTTTGATTTCTTTTTCGTCGACTTTTGATCGTATGTTTTATACGACTGGAGAGAAATGAACGAAAAATAACGAAAGGGTGAATTAACCGTCGTCGTGTCGAATTCAATGTACATAAATCGTTTCAAAGATATTAATAAAAAAAACATTATTTAACAGATGGAGTCTTGGGCCTGGGCTCCTGTCATCCTGATCTCCTCAATCATTTTCCTGTCCTCACGTCCTGATCCAGTCTGTCCTTTATCGGTGAGTATTTCTCCTTTATTTCAAGGATATCCAAGTGAGAAGGGCCCGGAAATTAAATTAGTTTTTGAAAAATCACGTGTTTAACGTAATTAACATGCACAAAAATATCGACAGATTGAAGTAGTCAATAATTAGAATGTTTTTTCCCCATCATTTTTTATAAATGATAAAACTCTTGTGAATTCAACATGAGTTAGTGTCGTCATCGCAATCATTTCGTGTTTTTTAAGAGATTTTTTTTCTTTGATTTCTTTTTCGTCGACTTTTGATCGTATGTTTTATACGACTGGAGAGAAATGAACGAAAAATAACGAAAGGGTGAATTAATCGTCGTCGTGTCGAATTCAATGTACATAAATCGTTTCAAAGATATTAATAAAAAAAACATTATTTAACAGATGGAGTCTTGGGCCTGGGCTCCTGTCATCCTGATCTCCTCAATCATTTTCCTGTCCTCACGTCCTGATCCAGTCTGTCCTTTATCGGTGAGTATTTCTCCTTTATTTCAAGGATATCCAAGTGAGAAGGGCCCGGAAATTAAATTAGTTTTTGAAAAATCACGTGTTTGGACATTTTTTACGAAACACGCCTCAAGTTCCACCGGGCGGGGACTGTCAAGGTCAGTTAGTGTAACACATGCTGGGAAAAATCTGTTCAATCAACAGATATTTAATTATTGACGTTCGTTTTTTCGGGGTTTTATGTAACGCATGTAGTTTTGTTGATTGGATTTCATCAAGGCTATTCGAATGGAACACAGCTGAGTAATGTCGATTGAATTAACAGTAATTGTCTATTATTGACGGCGTTAAAAATTTGTGAGAATGAAATTTATGTTCGGCGTTTTTTTTTAATTTCCGATTTTAATGGATTTTTACGCAATTTGTCGTCACGGGGATTTGTCGAAATTCATTTGACGAATATTTGCAAATATAAACAAATTAAATGTACTGATTAAATGCGTTCATTCAACGAATGGGATAATTATCTCGGTGATGAGGCAAAATGAGATCGTATTTTTAACAGATACATCAGAAGAAAATTGACATTTCATTGAAAATTCTATAGAATTCCGAAATTCCGAAATGAATATTCAGCACAAAATAACGCGCAATTCTCAATCAATTCCCAATTGAAGAATACATTCACCCGAATTTTCATAATTTTTATCAATTATCATAAACTATTTGACCTGAAATTGACAGTTTCCCCCGTTTTTTCAACAAATTGTCAACATCGAGTGACAGAATTCCTTGAAATGTCAGTGTAAATTCATCAGCTAAACAATTCCCAATCGATAATCCATCTGCTACTCTCCAACTGCGCAAAAATCGTTGGCCTTCGGTGCACATTTGCCCACACGCATCGTCTTGCAATGCAAAAAAGGGAAGAATACCATTGCAAAATAGTGGCAATAATTAAGTAAAAGACATGGGAATTGATTGAGGGCGTTAGCCACGAGATCCAGGACGCCTCGAAGGCCTCTATTTCGCATGTTACGTGCCAACTCGTATCAAAACTGGGTAACATGTACACCTATGTCGTAAACGCCCTTCCATTATCAACCTGCTGTGCATACTGCGTCTATTCCAATCAACTATGAACGTGCTCGATGGAAAACTTGTATTTCTAGCGTTACAATAAATCAATGTAAATGGGGAAAAAGGGAAAGGCGACTTTGAAGAATTTTTTGGGCGGAAAATCCAGGAATTTGAAATTTTTTTCGTTTTTCACATGACTGTTTTTTTAAATTACGTTTTCGCTCTGATTTTTGCGTCTGGATGAGCTCGCAAGTAGTTCAGAAATTTATCGGGAATTTCGTCACCTCCAAACAAGATTCTGACATTTTTTTATCAATAAAATGGACTTTGATTTTTTTTTAATTCGCTACAAGTCAATTTCGACTATTGACCAGTTTTCAATGAATATCTCGGAATCTAAGGGAGATAGAAATTTTTTTGTTATAAGCGTTTTTGTAGAGCCGATTGAGAGCTACAACAAATGTTATTACGAAAAATTCGCTATCTCCCTTAGATTTGGAAGTATTCTTCAAAAACTCAATTGGGAGATGAGTCGACTTGAACCGTTTTACCACTTCGCTATTGAATTGAAAAAAAATTATTTCGAAACATAAATTTTTCAACACTTTAGAGGACATTTGATCGGAATTAAAGAAAGTGTTTAGACATTTTTTCTTAAAGGATGAGTGAGAATGGAAAATTGTTATGAAGTTTGAGAAATTTGAGAAATTACCGAATTTAGAAAACACGGACGAAAAAATTTAATAGAAAAACCTATCGAATTCGTTGGAGAATTCTATTGAATTTCTATTGAACTATTCTATTAGTTTTTGAAAAAGTCAATAGAATTCAATTCTATATAACTGATTCTATTGAGATATTTTCTATAGAATTTCCTCGGCTCAAATTTTCTCAGTTTTTTCGTTTGATTTTCTTGATGAGAAGAAAAGAAAAATAGAATGAAAAAAGCTTGAAAAATTTGAGTCGAGCAAATTCTATAGAAAATATATGAAAATAATAAGTTGTATAAAAAAATCGAATTCAGTTGACTTTTTCTATTGAATATTTTCTATTGAGCATGTCCATAGAATCAGCCAAAAACTAATAGAAAGTTCAATAGAAATTCAATAGAATTTTCCAACGAATTCGATAGGTTTTTCTATTAAATTTTTTCGTGCGTGAACTCTCGAAAGAAATCCCCTCAGCGACGAGAAAGGTCTCTCACAATGTCTCCCTGAACCCATTCATAATCAGAATAATCTCACATTCAACTTGTTACGTTTTGTTCCTTACCTAATGCCGTCATCTTTGATTTAATATTTCGAGCGGTTTCACTTTCTACGAAATTATCACGGTAATTATAATAATGTAATAAGGCAATGTCGAGAAATTTTTTGTGGACAATTTCGTCAGCTGCAAGAAAGGCCTGAGATTTTCCTTCAGTATTTTTCCTCCGGAAAATTCTTCTAGAAGAGATCCTCGAGGAAGTCTCACGTCTTAATTTGAGGCGTAAGTTCGTCGACACAAAACTCGATTTTGACCATCGGTCACTTTTAAGTGAATATCTCGGAATCTAAGGGAGATAGCAAAATTTTCGTAATGACCTTTTTTGTAGAGCAGATTGAGAGCTACGAAAAAGGTGATGACAAAAATTTCGCTATCTCCCTCAGACTCGGAGATATTCGTAAAAAACTCAGTGGAGAGCCAAGCCAACTTTTACCGCTTCGCAGCTGAATTCCAAACACTAATTTTTCTAGTGGCGTTCATTCAATTATGTCCCCCTAAACCCATTCATAATCACCATAACCGCCCGCTCAACCTGTTACGTCTCTCCCGCCCAATGACACAATCCTTTATCCAATAATTCCCCCAATTTCACTTTCCTTCACACATCCATCTGTTAAAAAAATGAAATTCATCGGACAACATGATCGACGCATAATTCAGGGTATCGATAATCCTGTGTCACAATCGCCCACGTGACGGTGCGGCAAAAACGGAAGTAACGAAAAATTCACGTAACGAGTACACACGTTTGTTTGGACTTGTTGAGTGAATGTAAAGTTGGCTCGGATACACTTTTGTCCGGGTTTATTTCGTCCCACGCTGGGGCGGACGGTGGCTCCCGGTAGGACACGAGGGAGACAGCTATTTGCTCACTTGCGAAATGCAACCAACGATTCACTTTTTATCCCCAGGTGGATGCATTAATGCCAGCGTTCCGTTGATAACAATCAAAGCCCCTCCACCTCTCCCATTTCTTTTGGTATCGTTTCAGGAGCGAAGAGGTAAAACAGTTCGATGAATGATAATTACCGTTAAATTATTAAGTAGTCAATTCGTTAATAATACTTTTAATTATTGGAGTAACTCGTTTTTCCTTATTTTTAATCAATTTAAATATTCGAATTCCGAATTATTTAGTTGATGAAAAATTTACAGTTCAATATTATTACATGTTTAATTCGTCGTCAACTGGAAATTTCGAGTATGAATTATTTTACTATTTTTTAATTTAATTAGTACATTTAATTGAATTTGGTTGAAGTCGATTCAGGCCTCAGTTGGGGTTTTGAAGAATATCTCCGAATCTATGGGAGATGGCGAAATTTTCGTAATTACCTTTTTTGTAGTGCGAACTGAGGGCTACAAAAAAGGTCATGACAAAAGTTTTGCTATCTCCCTTAGATTCCGAGGTATGCGTTAAAAACTGGCGAATAAGCAGAGTCGAGTTGACTTTTTTCCCTAAATAATTCATAAATGATTAGTTTTTCAGAAGCCACTCAACCTTTTCCTTTTTTGGTATCACTTTCTATTTGCGAACATAAATAAATCACTTTTCTATGAAATAATCAATGGAAAATATTTTTTTTTCAATTCAGTAGCGAAGTAGTAAAACGGTTTAAATCGAGTCATCTCCCAGTTGAGTTTTTGAGGAATACTGCCGAATCTAAGGGAGATGGCGAAATTTTTGTAATTACATTTATTGTAGCACTCAATCGGTTCTACAAAAAAGGTTATAACAAAAATTTTGCCATCTCCCTTAGATTCCGAGATATTCATTGAAAACTGGGCAATGCTCAAAATTGACTTGTACCGGTTTACCACTTTGCTACTGAATTAATCAAAAATTCCGAGTAATTTCATATTAAATATTCAGGTATTGACGAAAGATCCAACAGACTATTTAAATTCTGCTCTTGCTGCCAAAAAATTTGGAGCTCCGTTGAATTTCCCCTGGAATGTGAAATCAGAAATTCACTTGCTGTGATGAAAAATCCATGAATAATACCGAACTAAGAATTAAGAATTAAAAAAAAGCTGAACATTTTCATAATTCTCGGAGACCTCTAAACAACCCACTGCCATATATCACCACCGACCTTCTGCGTAGCTCACCCACCTTGTAAAAATCCCGCGATTTCTCGTTACTTCCATAAACCGTCAAGTTCCCGAACAAATTCGCGGACTCATTACCCCCCGCAGAGCCGTTACTCTGCATCATTCCCGAGTTCTTAACGCACACTCGACATTAAACTACCCATTATTACCGACGAAAATGGAAAGCAGTAATTATCTTATAACTGAATAAATAAACCGCTGGCTGGCTCTATTGGCAACCGGGCGTGCGTCACGCGTGAAAGAATAGAAATCGGCCAAACTTAGTGACCTCTTTTTTTCACGTTATAATTCCCCTGATATCGCCCGAGACAATGCAAATCGAGCTGTTGGTCCCATCGCGGGCCCCGGGCGGGAGATGAAAAAAATGCGCGGACAGAATAAAAATATGCACTCAATCGTGCACTGGGAGAAAGACAAACACGTTGTCAAAGAAGTCTTGTTTGGGCCAACAAAATCGCAAGTTGAAAGTTGCCAAAAAGGATTTCAGTAGCGAAGCGTTAAACCGGGTTAAGTCGATTTTTACTATTGGCCAGTTTTTGACGAATATCTCGGAATCTAAAAGAGATAGAAAAATGTTTGTTATGAACTTTTTATAGCCCTTAATTGGTTCTACAAAAAAGGTCATGAGAAAAATTTTGGTATCTCTCTTAGGTTCTGAGATATTCATTAAAAAAAAAAAAAAAAAAAAAAAAAAAAAAAAAAAAACTGATCAAAAGTCAAAATCGACTTAACCCGGTTTACCGCTTCACTACTGATTTGTTTGGTTGGAATTTGAAAGTCTCAAATATGAATTATTGTTCTGCTTTCGACAGCAACGAAATATTTGGCTCGAGGCGGATAATTCACACCAGAC